TTGGATATATACAACATCTCTTACAAACCTATCTGATGCACATTTTGGGTGGGGGCAATGTCAGAGTAATTCAGCTGCTGAACCCATGAAACCAAGTAAGAGTGTGCTAAGCAGCCAACATCTTTCTTCAGCTGTGTGGGCAACCACATTACATATTAAAGCCTATGGGCATTTAAGAAAGCACACTGAGTCAAAGGTTAGTTGCTCTGTATGCAGAACAAAAAACAAAAAAAGCCCTATCTGACTCAGTTCCTCTACTTAGCATAGCCTATCCTTTTATCCTTGGTGGTTAATGTAGGTGCCAATGAACTAATGTAGGTAGAGCCAGCTGAAAAATTCACACCCGTTGCAGAACTTTTAGGCGTACCCGGTTTTGTTTTTTATCCTGGTGGAAAACTCCAGAGTGTTCAGCATGCTATGTTGGGGCTTACTTACAAAACAAAACAAAACAAAAACTTGGATTGGTACACAAGGAAGGAGCCACGGGGTTATCCCTGCATGCTCAGGCTGCTGTTGAATGCCTGCAGCAGACACCTCCTTCCTCCCATGCTGGAGCCAACTTGAAGGAGGGAAGAGTGGGTGGAGAGAAGAGGCGGGGATATCCCCACAAGCTCAGCCTATCACTGCCTGCCAGCAAGTGACAGACATTCTCATTGTCCAATTCTGGATCTTGCCTTTTTAAAAAAAAGAAGAAGGGGGGAGTGGAGGCATCCCTACACATTCAAGTTGCTGTTGCCTGCCAGCAAGGTGGAGCTGATAGCAGGTGCTTCCTTTGGCCCAGGGCACAGCTTTCATGGATTTTTTTTTTGGGGGGGGGAGAAGAAGGAAGAGGAGGAGGAAGAGAGTTTGGATTTGATATCCTATTTTATCACTACCCTAAGGAGTCTCAAAGTGGCTAACAATCTCCTTTCTCTTCCTCCCCCACCACAAACACTCTGTGAGGTGAGTGAGGCTGAGAGACTTCAGAGAAGTGTGACTAGCCCAAGGTCACCCAGCAGCTGCATGTGGAGGAGCGGAGACGCAAACCCGGTTCACCAGATTACGAGACTACCGCTCTTAACCACTACACCACACTGGGTGTGTGTGTGTGTGTGTGGTGTGTGTGTGTAAGAGAGAGAGAGAGAGAGAGAGAGAGAGAGCTATTCATGTATAATTTGTGTGAGATATGAAGAAGTGTGCATGCACACGAAAGCTCATACCAAGAACTAACTTAGTTGGTCTTTAAGGTGCTACTGGAAGGAATTTTTTTTGTTTTGACTATGGCAGACCAACACGGCTACCTATCTGTAACTTGTGTGAGATATGTAATTGTTGGGGGTGAGTGACGGAGGAAGGCAGGGAGAGGCAAATTCAATGTTTTCTGTGTGCATGTGAAAGAAAAGGGGGGATGTATGCGAGGTCAATGTGCAGGAGAGGTGCTCTTGGATAGAGGGAGAGATCTATGTGTAGCCTGTGAGAGGAAGAGACTAGGAGATACCTATTTATGTGTATGCTGAGTGCATGGATGCAAGAGGGAGTGTGGCTGACGATATTGTGGTACAGTATTAGGGAATACACCATGTTGCTATTGTGTGCGCATGTGCAGAAATATTGTATGATTGCCATAATCAAGGCCAACATGAGTTGTGGCAGGGGGCAAGCAGCAACGACTCTCTCATTTTGTGCTTTTATTTATTTATTTTATTTATATATTGTCCTTCATCACAAGATCTCATGGCAGGTGCTATGCCACACCCCTGTGGTGGAAATGTTGTGCTGTACCACGCATCCCACAGTGGCTGTTTTGCGATTGGTGCCCTCAATTTTTAATTCTTTATAACTCAAAGTAATGAACTTCACCTATAAAACATATGAAACATTACTTATTATGTATTTTTAAATGCCAGCTTTTAAAGGTTTGTCACAAATTCAATAGGGAAGGTGAGGGCAAGGAAGAAGGGAGTGATGGGAGAGGCATTTTATAATTCAGCAAGATATGAGTGCCGGCTCCTCATTTTTACACACACACACACACACACACACACACACACACACAGCACTGCACATACCTGAATAACTATTAAAACGTGTGGTATATGGGGGGGAACCCCAAAGAATGTGGCCAGCTCTCCAAAATAAGCCATGCCATGACTGAAACTATATATATTTCAGTTCTTTAAAGAGGGGGGGTACGTTGTGTGTTCTGACAACATCAAAGGTTTCCCATAGAAAGATGTTCATAAAAGCCTGGCAAATAAATGTCTATTTGGAACTCCCCAGGTGCACGACATATTCACAGAGACGGTTAAAGTTTCAAAAGGCTGAGGGGCTAACATAACCTTTACAAGCCTAGGTTTAGGGAACCCTTTCAAAAGGTTTCACCTCTCCTGGAGAAAGGTCCTTGTTAATCAATCAGTCTTCCAAACACCTGTGCACGTAGTCGCCACCTCCTTCAGATACCCTGACAGTATTTACATATCCTTTTGTGGTGATGTAAGGTAACAAGGAAACCCAATACCGCAGCTTTGGAAAGCTACCAGAGCCCGTGTCATTCATACTGAGCCCAAAATACACACACACACAAGAAACAAATCACCCTTCTTCTGAAATTCAAGGTGCAAAGCAGCCATTTGGGGGACCAAATTACTAGCCAGCCACTTTGCGGCACTTGGAAAAGAGCCAGGCGTATTATGTAACCAAGTAAATATTTGCAGTTGGATAACTTTTAATGTTTGCACTCTTCAGAGTATTTATTCCCCGGACTCAGTACGAAGTAGCACAAAAGGAATAGGTAAGGTTACCACCTTATCTTACATGAGGGCTAGCAAGTGCTAGGAGATCTAAAAATAATAATAATGGTGAATGCTTTTTTAAGGCATTAAAAAGATGAGGTCAGAATTAAGTGATCAACAGTTTAAAGCACAATGGCAACCTAAATTTATCTGAACGTAGGAGTCTAGCCATAGTGAATTCTGAACTGTATAGTTTGGAAATGAGCAGTTGATTTTTTTAAACTCACAAATAAAAGCTTAGAATAGTGAAGAGAAAATTATAATGAATGAGACCGTGTCAAGGACTAAACAAAAACTGTCCCCAGTTGTCATTTAGCGCAAGGAAGAAGCTGGCATTGCCCCCAATGGCATGTTCTGTCCCATGCCAAGCAGTGACATGATGGGGGGGGGGAGTCATTAAGGCTATCGTATGGGAGGAAAAGGTTAACTCTTGTCCTCATGGGTCCAATTCTGAAGAGCCCCACAACTGTTCTTTGCAGTAAAAAAAACCCAAAACAGTGGACCATGCAAGACCAATCTGCCTGCTATAGACTAGCCTGAAGTGCACAACACCAAAAGGAACCAGTAGAGGTGTAAGGTTAATAATGGGTGGGGTGGGGTGGGGGGTGGTGGAAGGAAATATACATGGAATGCTGGTGCAGGAAACCCAACTTTCATCACCTTGGATCTACAGAAATTGTCCAATCAAAGTTCTTAAGGCAAATTTTCTCTGTACCACCCTGTGTCCCAAATGCATCATTGGACCTAGAGGCTAATCTTCTCTTGGTAGAATCACGGATCTGGTGTAGGACACTTAACTATTGGCTTCGCCTAAACTCAAATCCCCCTGGTCTAATATCCCTAGTGCTGCAAGATTGCCACAAGAGCGCCTGGACTAGAATTGTCTATCAAAAACTTCACTCTTGTGGTTTATCACCGTAACAGCTACTCACTTTGGGTTTTAGTAAAGCAAACAGTCTAATTTGTCAGCGCCTAAATAATATCGAGCGTCAGAAGAACTTGGCCATAATAAGGAAATTTTGCCCACGGTATGACTATTTTCCACCTTCCCATTTCGACTTTCGGGCACCCTATCTGCATAACATAGCAATTCTAAAATATAGACGTGCTTTTACTCTCGCAAGATTGAATATATTGCCCTCAGATGTACTTGAGGGATGATTCCAACAGATTCCATACAAAAAAAACGTTTATGTCCCTGTGGAGATGGCAGTACCAAATCAGTGGCAAATGCCCTTCTGGATCGCACTCTTTATAAAGACTTGAGGAATGAGATTATCACCCCTCTTTTATTGTCTATTCCGGGTCACCCAACCACTGCCACAGTGTCCTTTCTCTTGGCAGATCAAGATGAGCAGGTGACAGCAAAGGTTGCAAGGCTTTTAGCTGCGGCAATCAGAATAAGACCCACTATTTGACTATTGATTCAAAACCCTAAAATGTATTTTATATACAGTGGTACCTCGGGTTACAGACACTTCAGGTTACAGACGCTTCAGGTTACAGACTCCGCTAACCCAGAAATAGTACCTCGGGTTAAGAACTTTGCTTCATAATGAGAAAAGAAATTGTGCTCCGGCGGTGCGGCAGCAGCGGGAGGCTCCATTAGCTAAAGTGGTACCTCAGGTTAGGAACAGTTTCAGGTTAAGAACGGACCTCCGGAACGAATTAAGTTCTTAACCTGAGGTACCACTGTAATTGACTTTTTATTTCTATTCTTTGTATACCATATTGTTGTTTTATTGCTATGGCCAATGGCTGACGCAAATAAAGATTCAATCATTCAGCAGCAGCTGGAAAGCTCAGTTGGTTAGAGTGTGGTGCTGATAAGGCCAAGGTTGCAGGTTTGATCCCCGTATGGGACAACTGCATATTCCTGCACTCAGGGGGCTGGACTGGATGACCCTTAAGGTCCCTTCCAACTCTATGATTCCATGAAAGTCCTCAGACCATAATATAGCCCACTGTCCTTTTTCCAACAGTGGCCAACTAGATACTTTTGGGAAGCCCACAAATGGGGCATGTCATCAACAACCCTTTTCCTCATGGTTTGTACACCAACATCATATTGCTGATGCTTCCATTAGCTATCACGGCTAACAGAATTTTAAAGATCTCTCCTTCCAGGCTCTGTCTTCTAAAACCATCTAAGCCAGGTAGCTCTTGGATGCGCCCCCCCCCAACATTGTGTGGCAGCAGACTCTGCAGGTTAATCATTCCCACACTCACCTGCAAGTGTTGTTTTTTGACTCTTCGGGGCAGTAGTGATGGCAATGGCAAAACAGCTTCTTCTGGGGAGGAGATGCTGCTGTGCTCCCGCTATCCTCCTTCCTGGTTTCCATGTTCACCTTCCCGGAACTCCTCAAGGGCCTGCTGTCTAGAAAGTTTGCTGTAAAAGAAACAGAATGAAATAAAAGGTAAGTCGCTGGGCAGGAATGGCTGAGAGCGGTTTTCCAAAAGACTTTTAAGGCTTTATCAGTGACTGTTTGCTTGATCATGTGTGGATAGGTACAAAGAAACATAAGGTGGTCTCCTACACTAAAAATGACCATAGACAGTTCTTGCTCATTAGTGCTTACACGGGCTGGCAGTGGTTTTCTAGGGCATCCCTGTTGTTGTTACTGCTATTCATTTTCATTCATTTATTATACTTCTTTGCTGCTTTTCACTCACACGAATCACAAAGCGGCTCACAAACGAATTGCAATAACAGAACATCACAATACGACATAAATCACGTAGAATGATTGACAAATCAAAAATTACAAATCATCACTAAAACAACCACCTTCCATAAAGCACAATTAACAAAACAACTACAAAAATAAGCTGGACAGCACAAACAAAAGTCGTATTGTAATATTTACAAAGCACCGCAGCATTCATAACTCGCAAAACAATATTAACAACATTAACAAACCAGCAACCAAAAACAAACTAGGCACTGTTGAAATTCACACACACACTTTCCCACCCCCATGATTCAAAACCTTCTACTCATGCGCCTACACATAATGTCTGTGGCAGCAATTTTTTGTTTTAAAGCCGGCTAGGGCTTGGAAGGTGGGTCAAGACAGGTAGAAACAGCCACTGCCTGATGGTCAGCGCAAAGTCTTATTCCCCTTACCTATTATCATCATTATCATTATCATTACTATTATTATTATTATTCATCTCCCACCTTTTTTTCCTGACAGGGACTCAATGCGGCTGACAGCTAAAATAGAAACAGCTAAAAAATACCATATTTTTCACTCTATAAGACGCACCCGACCATAAGACGCACCTAGTTTTTAGAGGAAGAAAATGAGAGAAAAAATATTCTGAATCCCTAAAGCCAGAACAGCAAGAGGGATTGCTGCTCAGCCTGCATTCACTCCATAAGACGCACACACATTTCCCCTTACTTTTTAGGAGGGAAAAAGTGTGTCTTATAGAGCAAAAAATATGGTGTATATGGGGAAAAGTAACTTATACTGGTCTACAACCACAATAAAGATTTGTTGTTGTTGTTGGGGGAAAGTAATCATTAAAAACTTTCTAAACATCAACCCACCAGCCCTTTCTTTAAAAAGTGTCATTCTCAAAAATCTGTTGGGACAAGTACCTGCTGTCAGAAAGAAGTACAGTGAGGATGGAGACAGAGTAGCCTCTTTAGGGAGGGACTTCTGCAGTCTGGGAGGAACCACTAAGAAGGAGAGGAGATGTGCGCTCTCAAGAGTTCATCACATGGCCCCAGGGATACTCTCGCAGATACCATAAGATTGCAGAAGAGGATTCATAGTGTTGCAGGACCCATGTTGGAAACTGGCCCGTTCTAGCCTCCCCTACCCCATTAGTTTTCTAAGTGCATGGCTGGTGAAAGTGGCTTTCAATGTCTTAAGAGCATTCAGATGTGGAAAGCTTCATGTTGATCTGCAGCTAGAAAGGCCTGTGTAGCATGACCTATTTCTAAATGCATTGTTCAGTGTTTTGCTGGGAAACTTTCGTCCCTCAATACAGGGTACTGTAACAGGTACACTATTCTTCTGGCTTCCTTTGGGGGGGGCGATGATTGTTTGATATTTTAACAATAATAACTTTAAGATTTTGAGCACATATTACCTTCAGCCTACGAGCAGCAATTACCATTTGGTTCCAAGCATTTCTTTTATACTACTTCTTTCTGGGTGGTGGTGGTGGGGAGTTTTCTCTCTTGCTCTCTCAATTATTTTGGATTAGGATATTTTAAAATCCAGCCTACACAGGGAAATTTAGCATCAACAGATGTTCACTTTCTGGGTCAGTGGAACAGAGCCTTTTCAAACCAAGTCCCCCTTTTCTTCAGCAGGTATGCACAAAGCTAGGATTGTGACTGAGTTACATTGTTATTCATGGACAGAGAATGAACTTTTAAAAATGTTCTAGGCAGAGGTTTCAGACATCTGGCTCATGATGCAACAGAGCTAAATAAAAGATATTAATAGTAAAGAAGAATAAAAATACCAGCCTTCTTTCATCCACACCATGATACTTTTATAACTAAATTTATCCACCTTCTGGGGCAATTTCATTCTCTCTCTCTCTCTCTCTCTCTACACACACACACACACACACACACACAGTCCTCTCTGGCTCTTATTACTTAGTTACGTTGTTATTCATGAACAAACAGTGAACTTTTAAAAATGTTCCAGGCAGAAGTTATAAATAATATACAATAATGTGTAAATAAAATAATTTGAGACAAAGTCCTGCCAAAGTTAGACACATTTTGTCCTGTGAAATTAAATGGGACAGTATTGATTGGAAATTAAGTATCTCCCATTTAAATCATTGGGGATCGATACTGTCTCCTATCACAGAATTGTAGAGTTGGAAGAGATCCCAAGGGTCAGTGCAGGAATCTTAACACAGAATATTATTATTATTGCATTCCTGAAAAATTGCCATATTGTTGAACAATTTTCAGTTGCTGAAGTATTTCCTTCTATTATACAATATCAGGAAGTACCCAGCTGTAGCGCTGAATGCACAAGAGAACAATCAACAGCCTGATTATATCTGAACAAGTCAAATTACATCCTAAAAAATGACTGCTTTTATGGGAAAGGGAAATATTAACTGCTTTAACTCCCTATATTTTTCAGGCATCAGATAAAGGAATTTCCACAGGATATTGTTGGCAACCAATCAGTGACAGAACAGCAGCACAGAAGGAAAGTGCAATAAATTATCCCTCTGAAACCACAGCCACAGCCTACTGTATAAAGCAGTTCTGAGAGGGACAGTAAAATAAAAAGTTTCACTGATAAGGTTTCACTGGCAACGATCATGTGCTAAATAAGGCATGGGCTAGCTACCTCTCCACAGTTCATGGAATGATAAAACTGGGAAGCAGTCTTAAGAAAGGCACCTTATGTCAGATATTCAAAATGAAAATTTAGGTTAGGAATTTATAATAATGATTTTATTGCATTAGCCATGCGGCCATAGCATAATATACATAGAAATAACAACATAAAATGGGGGTGGGGAGATAAAAGTGTATGCCGTTCTGGGCGAATACTTTGAGAAAATGGGGATAACAAAGGTAACAGGAGATTTAAAACATTGAGTGACAGAGAATACAAAAAACAGGTTCGATTGTGCGGCGTATCGACTACATCTGTGGTATTGAGGAAGGAGTTGGTGCCGCTTTCCTCTTCATCACACTAAGCAGGAAATTAGCTGTCATCTCGGTAATCCAACGGTCAGAATCCTGCAGAAGAAGGGACACTATCCAAGGCTGGATTGGGAGATGAAGCTTGTTCACGAGAGGAGTTAGGAACCGAGATCTTTCATCTGTCCAGTTGGGACAGAAGAGCATTACATGTTCCATAGTCTCCAGAACCGTGTCATTGCAGGAGCATGTTCTATTTGCGCTGGGAACTCTGGAGTAACGACCCGACAGAACTGCTGTAGGAAAACAGTTGAGACGGGCACAGGTAAAGGCCCTTCGTTTAGCCTCCGAAGGAATTGTAAAGCAGTATAGAGGGATCCCTTCAGGGGGTGGAATAGCTAGGGCTAAGCCTGAACACGGCCCTCTTGCATGGGAAGCTGTGTTAGAGAAGTCAAGTTGCTGCAGCTTCTTTTTGATTAGAGGTAGGGCTGCCGGGCTTATACACTCTAAATTAAAAACAGTTTTGCGGTTCAAATTGAGAAGAGAGCGGAAATGAGATTAATTGTAGTTTTCCAAGGAGAATTATGAATATCTCTTAGGATCAGATTGGAGAAACCACCTCTAATTCGAGCATCCGATGGTAGTAGGTGGGAGCTGTAGGAAATGGCTCGACTCCATGCTCGTTTTACAATTGAGGGCTGGGCGAACTCAAGACGTAAGGCTGCACCTGAGACACATCTTGGGACGCCGGAAAGAGATCTCAGAAACATGTGAAGTGGGCGATCCAAGTTACCTGATATTGCTGTAGTCCATACTTCGCAGCCATATAATAGTTTAGGGACAACTTTGGCATTAAACATTTGAATTGCTGCTGGAAGGTGTTTGCCGCCCTTCTGGTGATAAAATCGGACAATGGCATTAGAGGTTGTAGTTGCAGCAAGAGAGGCAGATTGTAGATGGGTGGTCCAGGAGAGATTATAAGTAAATATTAAGCCTAGATATTTAAAGGCTTTTACCTTTTCTAAGTAGCCACCTGTGATCTTAAGCGGCTCCAGCTTGAGTTTGCGGGAACGAGTGAAGTGGAGAACTTTCGATTTTTTATAATTAATATTAAGAGCTTCCGCCTTACAATAGGCGATAAATGCATTAACTGCATTTGCTAGGTCCGCAGCTGTTCTGGATAAGATGACGGCATCATCCGCATAGAAAAGGGAAGCAACGGGGTGGCCTGCTAAGTGAGGAGGGTACTTAGTTGCTAGCTTCAAAGGGGAAAGGGCGTCATGAAGATAAAGATTAAACAGTAAAGGGGCCAAGAGACAACCTTGTCGGACGCCCCTGGCCGTTGGGAATGGGGTGGTAAGGTAGCCGTTGGGACCAATTCGAACGCGAGCTGTGGTGTTTGAATAAAGGGAAATAATTAGGGAAAGGAGGTGTGGATCAATTCCCAAATGGGCAAGTTTGGACCATAATCTCTGTCTAGGAATGGAATCAAAGGCGGCCTCCAGGTCCATGAAAGCGGCAAACAGGTGGCCTTGCCTTGGTGCAGTGTATTTACTGGCAAGGTGATAAAGAGTTAGACAGTGGTCCATGGTTGATGCTGACTTCCGGAAGCCAATCTGTTCTGGCGGTAGAATGTTTCTCTCATGGACCCATGAAAGAAGTTCTTCCAGTAAGACAGCGGCAAATATTTTCCCCGGAATAGATAGTAAGCTGATGGGGCGATAGTTCCTAGGGATGTTTGGCTGGCC